ACCCACGGGAGCGGGAGTATCTTAGTGCGGCGAGGCCCTTCTGATTCCTGCCGCAGCTCGTTACTGACGCGCTGCCCGGCTAGCGCGACTCCAACTTCACAGCTCCCGTTTGCTCTGTCTCCGGTTAATCACTGCCAGTTTTAGCCCACTGATGGTAACTGGTAATTTACTGCAGCTCTATCTGTTTGACAGACACCGATTTCATCCCGCCACCGACGCTTCCCCCCTTTCTGGGATCTGCTGCGCGCAACTTAAACGGACGAGGACCGAGTTCGAAGCGGGTCTGCTATCCGAACCGTCGCTGGTTCGCCGTTAACGACGGCGCGGCGCCCCGCCGAAGGCCGCGCTCCGGCCGCGCCGTGCAGGCCGGCGCAGCCCGGCAGCCACGTGGCAGGTGGGAAGCTGACAATAAACGAGAGCGCACCCGCACCGCTCGGGTGCCAGGAGAGCAGCTGGTTGCTTGCCTGGCCCGGAAGGATTTTACGCTGTTCCCTTTCGCACGGCCCTCGACGCTACAACAGCCCCGATTAATAATAATTATTATGATTACACATATTAACAGCAACAATAACAATGATATCAAGAGCTAAATGAGAAAATCAGCTTGCTGCTGACAGAGTATTTCCTAGGCCAAAAGGAAAGGAACTGCGACCTGTATTTATTGCGGCTCCAGGCTTAAAACAGAACGGAGAAACGGAGGTAGCAACCAAAGCTGCCCAAATTTCCAACTCAGGGATGCGATTCGGGTAAACTACGGTTGCGGGCCAGTGCCCTTCTTATTACAGGGAGGTTTTAAATCAACCCCTTCATGCCCATGCAAGGCCAGTAGCGCCCCGCTGCCCGGGCACCTGGGCTGAGCCCCCCGGCGGCGGAGTCCTGCGTGGGAGGCGGACGCATCCTGCTGCAGGCGCCGCGGCAGTCTGGGCCCACGCCGCCGTTTTCCCCGTTATTTTTCACCGTCTTTACCAGCTTAAGAAAAGAAGCAGATCCCACACAGTTTTGTCTCTGCAGGTAATGTTTCTCGCTCGATAGCGTTTCCAAGAGAGAGGCAGGCTGGGGGGGGGGTCAGGCAGGGAATCAGCAAATGAATATCTTCACCTCTGTGTATCTTAAATTTTCATCTGAGCCTTTTGCTGTTAGCATTTTTCCATGTTGATAGCTATAGTGTTGGATCGTTTCTGGCAGATACCTGAGCACTTTGGAAAAACCCTCCTGGCCACATAGCTCTTAAAAAAATGCCCAGCTTTTCTACTTGCTGGAGTGGTTAGCTAAAATAGATGGGAGAATTTCCTTGAAGAGCAGAGAAGGAAATAATAATAATGGGGAAAACAAATCTTGGAATGTGCCAAGGTCAGGCCACGATGACCTGACCAAATCTGACCCTGAGTAAGACATGGAAATATCAGGTATTGGAAAAATCATAGAGTTCAAATACCGAGGGCAAATTACTCTGGCCACACCTCTCCTGTAATTCCCCCTAAGAATGGAAAAACTGCATGAACCTGCGTTACCTGACACTTGTTTCAAAGCACGCTGAAATCCAGGGGAACCTCTAGCTGCCAGCTTAAATGGCCTGATAAATATTACTCCTGGCAAGGGAGTAATGGTATATACAAGCTGTACGCTCATCCATGCATGGGGCAGGCCATGGCCAGAGTTCAAAGGCTGTCAGAGTGGAAATTGCTCAAATGCTCCTAGAGCCGCGGGGAATGCCTATGCCCTGGAAAGCCCTTGGTGGTGGTGGTGATGCTAGGTGAAAGCATCGCAGGAGTGGTGTTTCTCTCCACCTCCTCCTTGACCCTCACAGGGCAAAGCACTGTGTGGTTGAATGCACCAGCTGTTGGCCATTGCAGGCACACTCGTTGCAAATTAACCCCAGACTTCTCCAGTTTCATCTGGAGAAGATCTGTTTTCCCTGCTTCTGCTCCCCCAGCTTGGAGATCCCTTCACAAAAGCTATCTGCCTACAGGTGTCTGCATTTAATGCTTTAACTGGGCTTGAACGAGCTCACGCACCTCCGGTCTACGGGGCGAGGAGTGGGATGCTGGCAGGGTGCTGCCCTTGGGGCAACAGAGCTGGAGCTGGAGGTGTTTCTATCATGTAAGTCATTTTGCCTGGTTGAGGCATTGCTGGCACTGGTGCTGCGACTATGGGGCCTCCTTACAGGAGCTGGGGATGGAGGCAGGCAGAGCAGCCCCTGCCACAGCTGCTGCTGGGCAGGGGGCAGCCATGGAAACCTGAGAGTTTTATGGGGAAAAAAGCCTTGTGCAATGGTCTAGCCAGGGCTGTGCGTTGGTGCCACTGGCCATTGCCAGCCATAAGCACCACTGAATGTGTCTGTGGCTGTCCAGAGCCTTGCTGGCACTGAAGATGGTCCCTTTGGTTGGGAGAGGCAGTGCTGGACCCTCAGCGGCAGCCTGAGGAGCCAAATGACCTATAGCTGCCTAGTAAACATTCCTGCACATCACAGCCTATTTACACACATTGGGCATGACTGTTTCCAATGAGATGCCATCTGGAATAAGAACAGGCAACTTCAAGCATGTACTTGAGCATTCGGACAAGCTTAGAAAGCAGGCAGGAACGTGGAAGCTAACATTCGGCTGTTTCCCAGGCTCACGTACCTAGAAGCCAAGTGCTCCAGCTAAACAGATTGTGCCCTATTAAATCAAAACAGTGCATCGGCAATAGCTTAGCTCACAAGATGTCATCTGGATCATCATCGCACAACAGCGTGTCCATTGGCTATGGGATACTTCCCCTGCACTCTTAACAAAAATGTTTAACATCTCGCCGCCTTCCTTCTCTACCCCAGGCATGTTTCAAGGGAAGAGAGGTTAATTCCATAGGAGAACAAACTAATTTCCACAAATTAGAACAGACCCTGTTTTGATTTTAAAAGACCCAAAATATATCTGGTGTTTTGCTGCACTTAAGGATCTAGCACTAGAGGATTCTTTAAAAAAAAAGAACCCCCTGTTCACGTGACTTCTCTAAGTCATGCCTCTTCGCTGAATTCTTCGTTCTTGCAATAGGTCTCGTCAGAGATCAGTCAAATTGGGGGGAATGATGTAAACTAGCAAGCCTAGCCAGGGGAAGGACACGCATTGCATAGCAACTGAAGCAACGAGCGCTCAAACAACTGTACACAACGCTAGTGCAGGGACCCTGGCGCACGTGAGATCAGGTGTTTGCTGAATGGTGGGAAAAGGTGCTTCTGAGGCCTCTCTCCAGCAGTGAGCATCTGAAACCTCAGACTGCAACTCTGCGGTCCGCTGCCGCTTCAGTCCAAAGAGGCTGTTTCCCCTGAGTTTCTTATCCTCACTCTTTAGGGTTTCACGCGTTGCTATCGTCCTGCGGAGCTGAGGACTGGAGGTGGTAGTGAATGTTTGCTTTTGATGGCAAGCCTTAAAGACAGCAATGTGCTTTGGGGGTCCCAGCGGTTCGGGCTTTCTAGTATCGAAGATAATGTGCCGTTCAGTCCAGTTAGTGCTGGATATACAAATCATGCTGAGTTAGGCTCCAGAGCCCAAGCCCCTGCTGTAAAAGCCGGGATTTCACAGTGTCCGTGTTCGGGCAGTGTGGGAACGACTGCCGGTGGGGCAGGGCAGAGACAGGCTGGCCTCGTACTTGTTCTTGCTGTTTCTTGCTATAAATATGCCTGACGAAAGCTGTCTCCCCAGTTCCCTACGTGCGCTATTTTGCTGCCTCCGCCTCTCCTTTCTCTTTATGCTGAGACCCTGGGCTCTTTGCATCTGGAGTGGGCTTTTGTCCTGGGATGCTGCTGTGCTCGTACAGCTGCAGGCGCAATACAGGGGTCCTCATCCATCTCTGGGTAACCCTAGGAAGTAACGATGATAATATACCATTTCTTTGAGAACAGATATGTGAGCTAAAGTCAAAATCAATTAACCCGATTCTCAGGTAGAGTAAAGCCATTTTAAGCAGCTGTGGTAATGGAAAGGGACTTCATAACTACAGCAAATTATATTTATAGTCACTTCAGGGAAGTGTTCCTAGACCTTTCTACCTCAGGTTAATTGATGGACGTTTAACTCGGGGCATTGAACGCCATTACAAAGGCTACAATAGACTCTCCTTCCGTGTGTATTCACAGCTACAAACTCAGCTGACATCTAGTCTTCTCAATTTGTTGACTCCTAGACATTTTCCAGTGCAAGTATGCTTACGTTCTCTGGCAACGGACTTACCCTTCTTTGGAGACCTTTCAGGGCTGTCTGCCACTGACAGGCAGCAAACCGCTGCTCTGGGGCAAAAGGGGAGAAGGCAGTAATCTTGCTCAGAGGGAAAGGCTGAAGAATATCAGCTTTTCAAGGACACCTTGCATGGCAGAGGAACGCAGTCTTAGCATATCTATCCAAATTCATAATGCGCTTGTCGTCATGGTATCTAAGCGTTGCATAATGGGTTTAAAACCAGAGCAGCGGCCTGGGGCTGTCGTTTAAACCTACTTATGTTTTGAAGGCTGAGATGGGATGGGAGAGATGTGCAGAGATTTAGAAGGGGCATTCTAAAACCAAGGAGCTGCTTCTAACTCATTCGTAGCCAGATGTTGCCGACTGACCTCGACCCATTTCTTGTAGGTTGAAAGAAAGAAGTAGGGGGCAGAAACAACCATGGTCTCCCCCTTCTCAGCTTTGCTCCTACACCGCAGGCCCTGCTTTCCCCGTGGTGCTTGCCCAGCCAAACACGGCCACTTCACTCATTTCCCCTGCACCAACCTCAAGGACTTGCTGTCAGTTCAAAGCAAAACCCCACCCCAATCCCACGGCAGTGCCAGAAATGTTAGCCTTTTCTTCCCTCGTTCTGCTGAAAAAGCCTCCCGAGATTTGCACCCCCTGAAGGCTGCACATGCTAAACCCAGGTGCCTCCTGCTCCTCTCTCCCATAAACGGAGCAGAACAAGCTCTCGCTCTCCTTGCAAGTGAAATATAGTCTCCAGCCCCTGGCCGAGTCTTGTTGTCCTTTCCTGAACCCTTTCCAATGTTTCAGCGCCCTTGCGAGGAGCACAGACCCGAGCTGGGCACGCAAGCTGCCCAGGGCCAGGCAAACTTTCTTTTTCATCAGAAAATGCCTGTGGATCAAGGCTGAGCAGAAGAGTGCCAGGAGCAGAGAAAACCAGACAGAACATTTTTATGTGGCAGAGATTTTCAGCAAGAAACAGCTTCCCCCATCCCACCCAATCCCTCCAGCTTTCTGCTTTCGCATAAATAAAGCTGTAACCGATCACTTGGTCAATCTCAGTTTGATATGATGACAGCAATACATTATATTCTACATCAGGACTAATGCATTGCAGTCCATAATCTGCGCTCCATTATATTGGTTAGGCAGTATAACCACAATGTGACTTTTGCATATTCAATCTTGCATTGTGGCTGAAGGAATTTGGATGGGAATTTGTCTTCCAGAAGCCACGTTGAAACGTTGCCTTTTCATTCCACTTCATAATTAAAGCCACTATTGGAGCATTAGCATTTCCTGCATGGTGGAAATTTGTTGTCTGACCAGCTCTAATTAAAATCCACTTGTTTGAATGGGATACACTTACCATATAGACTAACTAAATGGCCCGTCGCATTTATTATATACTTTATTATGCACACATACATGTTATTATATATAGCTCCTGGTAGACTTTGGCTCCTCTGGAAATGGTATCAGTATTGATAACAACACTGAATAGCTCTGTGTTATACTTGTCACGCAGCCAGGCTTTAATCCTTTTAGCCAGGCTCTAATAAAATAATACAGTGGCACAGATAAAAACTCTTGACGACAGCAGAGGCTTCTCATGCGTTCACGAGCTTCCCCTGAGCGATCTCCTCGGTTCAGAGGTGGAAATGGAGCTTGCTCTGCTTCCCACTCCTGTTCAGGCTCCTCAGCTTTCCGAATGGAAAGGGGTTCGCTGCCACGAGGGCTCTGGCGCGAGCGTCCCTCCGAGCTCCCCGCAGGGAGGGCTCCTGTTATTCCCGAAACAACATTATGCTTGATGTCACCCAGAGACGGGCGTTTTTTTCCGCCCGCTTCATTTTTTTGCCGAAATTAATTTGTCGAGCTCCAAGAGAAATCGCTGCATTTAATACAGTGAGGCTCAGCTCCCCCAGACCCATAAAATCCGGGTGGGTGCCGCAGCAGAGGGCAGAACCGTGCCCACCACTTTTGGCGGTGCTGCCTGGCAGAAGTCATTTACCGCAAAGACTGTTGTTTGTTTGTGCTCCTCCCAGGCGTCATTTGGGATCGTAATGAAAGTGCAGAGCTAACCCTGGCTGGGGGGGGGGGCCTACCCGCTGCATTTCCAAGTTATGAGTTTTTTCCATTTTATTGTTCACGTCAGAGTTTCACTCTGAACCTCCGCCTCTGTTCTGCTGTGAATACTAATCAGGTTTAGTACGAAGCATCAGTCATAGCTGAGCTCTGCTACAGAAAATATCTCTGCGCAAGGCAACAATTCTTCAATCTTAATGAAGTCTTGCACAGGAAAGCTGTTCCCGTTCTGCCCAGCCGAGAGCTGGGAGGCAGAGATGAACTTTAGACTGCAAGCCCCAATAAACAGGGCTATTTTACATTCTTTCCTTGGATCAGGCAGGTCCATAG